AGATGACAGAGAAACGAGGAGTAGAGAGAATTGGGTAACGCTAGCCACCTGTTGTTGTTAATCTATCGGCGCAGGCAGTTCCAAGCTAGGAGCAACCCTACCTGCGCAATCAGCATCGCTAGGTCATCTAGTCCCAGCATACGCCGCCTGATGAAGATCCGGCTGAGAAATGTGAGGCTAGTGTAAATGAACGCGAGAAGTGCGACGATGTACAAGATCCCACTGCGATCGTCAGGCGTAATCCGCGCCCAGCGGTTGCCGTCTTGCGCCGTAGCAGACATGCTGGAGTTTGGATATGCGCGTGAGCGTCGATTTCGGCTGATGAGCCATGGCTTCGATCATGAAGTTGAGAGCGCTTGATACAGCCCTTCGACTGTGCCGCAGCCATCTCACTGTCATCGCGTCTGTGCTCACCTATGCGAGGGATTGCCCGTCTCGTCTCTAGCAAGCTGGATGAGCCAGCACTGGCCGCGTAGCCGAAACGCCTTGCGCAAGCGAACCGCACTGACAAGGCACCCGGATTGGCAGCATGTCGCAGCGGTGCGAAGGATTGAAGTTGCATTGCGGCTCGAAGGCCGCTTCCCCCCACCGAGCGGCGTGCTAGCCTTCATTGAGCCTTGGCCGCCCCCGGGGCCCGTTCCCTGCATCGTCAACGTGCATTTACCCATCACGTTCTCTCGATATTTTCATCTGACCGCTGGCCGTCGGCTTGAGCCGCTGCTTTCAGATCTCTTCTGTACTGTTGAGGCAGGTGCAGTTGCGCCATCTGCCGCATCCTTTCTGGTGTTACCGAGGCATGATGTACTCCAGTCTCTGTGCCGATCGTGTCACACAGTCGAAACTTTGAGATTCGCGCTCATTCTCTTCAATTTCGACTCTACACACCTCTTTCCAATCATGTCGGAACTCAAAAATCGGGCTACTACCGTAGCCCAGCCTCTTGAGAACGAGTCGCAACAGGATGGCATCGCTCTAGCAAAGAGGGGGACCGCTGGCGACCAAAAGGACATGTACCGTATGGGAAAGCGACAGGAGCTGCGACGAAACTTCGGTTTTGTGTCGATGTTCGGATACAGTATGGTGTTGATGGCGACATGGGAGACCATTCTGACGTGGGTATGCATGAACCTTTGATCTGCACTTTCTGACACCCAACAGAACTCTCATTATCCCATTGACCAATGGCGGCACCGGTGGCGCCATCGTCATGTTCCTCGTCACAGCGGTGGGCATGGGCTTTGTCATTGTCTCAATGGCTGAGATGGCTTCAATGTGCGTAGCGGCCCGTTGCTAAGATCTCCTCGACACGAACCAATCGCTGACGAAAATGAAGGGCTCCTACTTCCGGTGGACAGTATCACTGGGTGTCTGAATTTGCGCCAAAGAAACACCAGAAGTTCTTAAGTTACCTCGTGTAAGCTTCCACGAGTGGATCCACAAGGCTTATCACTAACCGGGTACCAGTGGCTGGCTTTGCGTGCTGGGTTGGCAGACCGGAATCGCGTCCATAGCCTTTCTTGCTGGTGGTCAGGTCCAAGGACTCATCATCCTCAACAACCCCAACTACGTCCCCGAACGATGGCACGGCACCCTCTTGGTCATCGCGGTAGCAACCTTCTCGATCCTGTTCAACACACTCCTAGCTCGTAAGCTACCTCTGGTCGAAGGTATCGTCCTGGTGCTGCACATCTTTGGGTTCTTCGCGATCTTCATCACCATGTGGGTGCTTGGGCCGCGCAGCCCATCCAGAGAAGTTTTCGGTGGATTCCAAGACAACGCTGGATGGGGTAGTGTGGGCCTGTCTGTGTTGGTGGGACAGCTCTCGCCAATCTTCTCTCTCCTGGGTGCAGATGCTGCTACCCATATGTCGGAAGAATTGAAGGACGCCTCGCACACACTTCCCCGCGCCATGATCTGGACAGCAGTCGTTAACAGCAGTTTGGGTTTCCTCATGCTAGTAACCTTCTGCTTCTGCCTCGGCGACGTCGAAAGCGCCATCATGTCGCCGACCGGGCAGCCCCACATCCAGATCATGTACAACGCTACACAGTCCATTCCAGGGGCTACAGCTCTGGCATCTATCACGACTATTATGGCCGTGTTTGGATGCGTCAACAATGTGGCAACATGCTCGCGCCAGCTCTTCGCCTTTGCTCGCGACCACGGCGTTCCCTTCAGTGCCTTCCTATCCCGAGTCCGACCAGGCTGGGATATCCCTCTCAACAGCGTTCTTGTGTCTTTCGGTATTGCCATTGGTCTCTCCCTCATCAACATAGGCAGCACCGTGGCATTCAACTCCGTCGCATCGCTGGGCACGTGTGCTCTCCTCTCGTCCTACATCGTCAGTATCTCATGCATGTTCATCAAAAGATGGAACAGAGAGACCCTCCTCCCCTGCAAGTTCTCGCTCGGCCGCGCTGGTATCTGGGTCAATGGCGTGTCCGTTGTGTACCTGTGTGTAGTGTTGGTGTTCGCCTTCTTCCCCACATTCCCCCACCCAACACCTGATCTGATGAACTGGAATATCCTCATCTACGGCGTTGTCGTGGTATTCTCTCTTGTGTACTTCTTTCTCAAGGGGCGCAAGGTATATGTTGGGCCTGTCGAGTATCTCAACAAAGATCTTTGAGGGGCAGGCTGGAGGTGGGAGAGTCTAGAACAGGAACAATTGAGATAATTGCGTGTCGGGTAGTGTTGCTACTGCCATAGCATGGACTCGGACTCGGCATGCAAATACCAGAGATGTACCATTCTATCATGCGATGTAATGATTTGCGCATGTCCACGTGCTCAAGGGCCAACTCATGCAAAGGAGATCGTCACTATGCCTCCTACTTGTTGAGCGTCGCGCCTTTGATCGTTTCGTATAACGGCTTCTACGATTCCAGGCTTCACGGCAATGGCGCAGTTGCCCGGGCTACGATGGACATTACCGGTAGGTCCTTACAAAGATTTTAAGCCCTCCACCTCATCGTTACTATCAGCACGTCGGGGAAGTTCACGGCTTGGAACAGCGTCATGTGGAAGCACGTGTCTGACAGTGATATCGATCAGATCTGGTGGTATCGGAACCTGACCGAGGCCGATTCTCTGCAACCAGTTCCCCATATGGACTAAATAATCACTTCGGATTATGTCGTCGGCAGTGTAATCTGGCTTGCAAATCATCCACGGTTCTTTCACCAGAGAGGTGATCTCCAAGCGCAACTGAGGTTTGATGATGAGTCGAGGGGTTCTGTAAAGCACAGATGTAACAGCTTCCTCGAAGAACTTCTTCCAGGTCTCGTTGGATCGTACGTCAATGAGACTGTTGAAGGAGCTCATGTCTTTTCTGTATACATTCCCAAATTCGATGGCAAGGTTAGGTGCAGCTAATAGCAGCCGAATCAGAGGAGCGAGCTCGACCTTGTACTTGGTACTCGATGGGCTCAATACTACGGTGCCACATGTTTTCTCAAGGTCGTGAAAGAAGACATCCACAAACTTCTCCAGGATAGCGACGTCTTGAACATGCGCGGAAATGTGCTGGCGATGCATTGGAAGAAATTCATCGCGGACTTGGCGACAGACTTGAGTGAGGCCGAGTGTCTGCCGTCGAAGCATTGACCAACGGAATACCAGATTTGGTGTTCGACTGAGCAGGTTTGCCGAGTAAGGCGGAGGTATGAGTCGGACCTTTGTTGGGATTGCATCGATGAGATGCGTGTAGATGTGATTGCGAAGTTCTACGACCGCCCCAGATGTTAGTGTGTTTCTTGACTAACATTAACGACGGCGAGTACTTACCTCCGGGAAGCTCTAAGAGATAGCACTGCATCTTGCGCAGCGTGCTTGACTACGACTGTGTGAATTTTCACGCCTCTTGGTCTCGGCGAGTACAGGGGATGAATGTCACTCGTTTGCGAGCCTGAAGATTCGGATACGCGGTGACGATTGATTCCGCGACGACAGATAGCACGGCTGGCGCGTCGTCCGTCGCGTCCGACTGAAGGTTGGTGTTTAGATACGACCGGCAATGAGGCTGGGGACGATCTGTAGAAGTACTCGACGTAATCCTATTGTCGGCTGCGAAGATCGGGTATCTTTTCTTGAATGCGCTAGGTGAAAAGGAGATGAAGGCGTTTGCGCAGTTGAGCAACGCTTGGAGCTATTTGCTGACTCATCATCCGAATCCCCGCCGTTGCCTAATCGGGATAGCGCGCTTAACTTTACCGTTCCAGACATCCCCGGACCACCTCGTATATTCGTTTGGGAATACGCAACTCCGCTCCTTGTAATTCTGAACGAAAAATACTGCGACTGTCTCAAATATGGCGGACTTGGTACCCGAAAGTACCGGCGCGACACCTGCGTCGAGAAGCCGCCTGCTTGAGCTGCCTGGAGGTAAGTATTGAATGCCGAAGTCTAAGATATATCGCTAATAACGGCCACAGAGTTGCGCAATCGGATCTACAGCTATCTCGTTGATGTCTCCAACACGGAAATTGTAGGTAGATGCATCTCAGGTCTAAAGCACTTTGGAATATGTACTAACAAGCTTTGTAGATGACATTACACGTGGCTCGTTTCTCAAATTCGTCGAGCTTCGCTCCAATTCCAGTCATACCTTTGCGTTCATATCCGATAACGATTTTATCGAGTTGTGGAGCAAAAGAGTCCCGCGAAGTCTATTGGCAAAGCGCTCGACCCCTTGCGCTCGGCCTTACGCAGACCTGCCAACTTCTCCGCCGCGAACTTCTTCCGATATTTCTGAGGAGTGTGCCTCATTGCACCAATATCACGAACTTAGACTTCTCTGATTGTATCTATGGTCTCAGAGACACGCTCGAAGGTTACGGTCACAGAGATATAGTTTGTGAGATCGATTCTGGGTCCCACGACTACCTCGGGGCACTCGACCCGCTTTACTTCGTTAGCAAGTTCCCCGGTCGACTCTTAGACTTCCGTATTAGAGCTCGAACCACGAGAGTACCCAAACCAAGGGCAAAAGTACAACCGCAATGGGTCTGGGAGTACTTCATAATCCCGTCAGGCACTCGACTTGTCTTCCGCATGGAACTACCCTACTGCGAGATCATACTTGAGTTCAAGGTGCTGGCCTTTGAACCTTCGTTAGAGCCTGGTATCACTAATCCCTTTCCCGGGAGCCATAAGCTGTTGACTTGGGCGAAGGAAGTGGATCTCTTCGACAATTATGGTCATTCCTACTACGTGCTCGGTCAGACTCGTGTGTCTGCTCAGCCGGAGGATTAAAAGTCCTGGATCGATGTTGAAGAGCTCAACGCTGTAGAGGATGGCCTTGAAAAAATAAGTATTGACAAGCTTAGTGGTGAAAGAGAGGACGTCCAATGGTCAATATCCTTCACCCAAACTTCAATACATATACATACACAAAGTGCCTTCACAGTCTCTACTATTAGGCACGCACACACTAGAGTACTGTACTTGCGACTCCTCTCATTTTTGGGAGCATCATTTCATCTATGTTTTCAATGTTGCGAAAGTTGTAAGTGGCTCGTGTCACTCTACGTTATCGCAGTACTATGCGTGAAGCGTATAGCAATCAGAACACAGAGTCTCAACGTACAGATCAGGGCTGCGGCTATGTTAAGACCTCAAGCGAAGCATGAGGAAGGTACTGTGAAAGTAATATTGTACATTCACCACCTGCATCGTGTATCAGCGGCCAGTCAATGATGTTTCTCTACTTAACCTCCAGGACCAACGATCTGACTGCTCTCCCTCGTCGCTCAACCTCATACAAGCCACCCCGATCATTAACCAGAAGCCACAGTTACAAGATGACTTCACACATTCCGCAACCTCAGTCACGCCTACTCCAGCTTCCCGGAGGTAAGTAATCTTCAGCAGAGCCAATTTGAGAATCGCTAATGATATTCCTCTCAGAAATCCGTAATGAGATCTACGACTACCTGGTCGTCCGAAAGCGATACATACACTTCAAACGACCTACAGCAGATGCAAATACTGCGACGCTCCGTGCGTCGAATGACCAAAACACCCTCAGGATAGCTTTGGGTCTAGTCCACACCTGCCGGCAGCTCCGCAAAGAATTCCAACCCCTTCACCTAAAAGACGTCCATGCAACGGTGAACATTCCCGATATCAACGAATTCATTGCAGACTTCATACCGATACCAGCGACCTGCACGAATACGCTGTATATAAGGATACCACGGTCCTACTACACGGTTAACCTCATGCCACTTCTCCGCTTCCAAAACGCAGCTCCATCTGTTAAGATTAACCTTCTGGACCCTTATCGGGCCCCTGATGTTTTCGACATTATGCACAATGACCGCGACGTAGACCCACACCATAGCTTCTTTTGCTTTCTCACAGCCGTTCTTATTGCCCTTGAGAGGACGGCGGCTTGGCGCACGTACTTTCGAGACGCGATTGTTGACATGACGGTGGATCATGCCGAGCATTTCTCTTGGACCATCAAGGTCAAGAAGGATGCAAAAGAAGACTGGATGCCTTGGAACGCGGCAACGTCACGAGAGAGCTCGTCCAGGCAACACCGGGCTGCTGCTTCGATGTGGAAGATGAGGATTGGAATGGGCCATATAGTCATGCCAAACGTTGTCGTAGCCTCTGATTAGGTCGGTGGGCGTACTCAAAGCAATCTGTAGTGGGCTGAGGATGGGAGAGGTTTCTGAGCCAAAGGCAAGGAAGTTCGAGATGCAGGCGGTTTGTTGAGGCTTGTAGTAGCTACAAAACGAACGTCACACCCACGACGAATTAAGTATCAATAACCTTCCACGCTTTTATACTCTGTGATAACAATGTGAAAGCCTTGTCTTTACACCAAGCCAAGTGCACCACCCCACACCTCACAACACTCCTACATCGCCCCATGAACAATCGCACTTATCGCACTATAATCAGTCCCGTACCCATCATCGTCATCATCGACATCAAATCCCCTATTACCTTTCACCGCCCACATTACCTCCTCAAGCATCTCCTTCTCCTTCATCGCTTGGGTCATTCTCGGCTGTTTCTCCCTGCCATTCTTGTAGCCCTTCTCCCAATGATAAGTCGGATGCTGAAACTGCACTTCCAGCTTATTTTTCCGACCCTCCGGTCTTGTAATGGCTCTCAGAACATCGTAGTAGTCTTCTTGCTGTGCAGCGTTGATCGCGCGGCGCAGATCCAGGTTTTTGAGTTTGGGTGCGCTGACGGAGATGTCGGGGTCGTCGGCCATGGGCTTGAGATTGTCTAGGTTTAAGTTGCCTGTGCGGCCGTTGTGGCCGGTAATGCAGAGCGAAGTGATGTTTGGGCATGCTGTGAGGATGGGTGGGATGCACGTCCCTGTGATGAGAAGAGCCGAATCAAGCCGCAGGGTCTTGAGGTTTGGGCACGCGCGTGCTAGACGAACCACTGCATCGTCGGTGATGGGCATGTTTGTTTTACCAAGACGCGCGCCCAAACCTATCTTCTCTAGTTTGGTACGAAAAGCTTCGTCAGCTGTAGCGATCGCGTCAAGATGCGCGCTGTCACGTGAGTTAGCCCCACCCGCAAGGTCCGGGAACGCGTTCACCTACTCCTGCACCACAAAGTCTGGTCCAAATTCGATTTCTTTGATGCCAGCTGTGAATCCCAGCTCCTCTGGCTTCCATTCATCAAGCTTGTTGAACACGCGTTGCACTTTCGTTGGCTTCTTGCCAGTTGATGTACGTGATCCTCGCGCGTTGAGCCCGGACTTTTGTTGCTGGCGCTTTCGGGCTCGCTCGGCTTTCTGCTCGTCGGTGCGGCCCTTCCATTGTCGCTTTGCTGGCACTGCAGATTCCATGGCGAGTTCGGTGTCTCGATGGGTATACGAAGTCCACCATTGATCTATCGTCTAGGTGGGAGAAAGGCGTTGGCGCTCAGATTGGGCACCGAGGGACGCTACCTTATGTGAGACGGAAGCTTAGGCCATCGCTCTGCGCAATCGAATGAGCAAGGGGTTTACACCCTTGAACGTTGATCGACACCCATGACAACGTCTTTGTATGGAACAAAATCCCCTCATCTTCGGTTCCGGGCTCTCCGATCGAGTTGATGAGGGGAACCATCGCGACTGCCGGAACAGGTCCGAGGCGATAAGCGTCAACTAGAAACGCGCCTTCCTACGTAGCTCTACCAACGACGACTCCCCTATAACACGACGTAGCCCACACATCAGCATCGCAAGTTCTGATCTCGTACAAAATGAATCATCATTCGTATCGTGTCACCGCCGAAGCAGCTGCTATATGCTACCTGACTCTCGCGAGCCCTCATCACCAATCTAAAGAAACAAGAACGTAGAGCCATACAATTACAGATGCCCACCCATCCATCTTATGCTGAAACCCAACGCCAAACACCTCAAAGTGATTAAAATGTAGTAGGAGATCCGTCAGTGGTATAGAACAATTCGACCAAGCCAAAACGCCAGTGTTGTCCGTGTGGAACCCCCTTCCCAAATGTAGATGTGTGTTTCTGTTGTACTCCAAACTCAAGTGATTCGCCTCTTCAACCCTCCAAATAGGCCTTTGAGACCACTGGACTCTTCCTTCTTCTTCCTCCTGTCGCGTCGGTCGGTCTCGCCGCGCCTGGGCCTGGGACGGTCTTCACCATGGTCTCGTGCGCGGGGCCGATCAGACTCCACTCGACGACCACCAGATGGCCTCTCCTTCTCAACGACAGAGATACGGCGTGTCTTGGGGCGTTCTTCTGGTTTGGACATACGCCTGCTTCGGCGACGCTCGCGTCGTTCCTCATCTGATATGGAGATCTCACCAACAACGGCGGCTGCGTCCTCGATCACTGGTGATTCAATCGTCTCGATCGGTTCTGGCTCTGGCTCGTACTCGAAGGGCTCTGGTGGTGGCGGAGGTAGATCCTCAGGTGGTGGAGGCGGTGGTGGGAGAGAGACCCCTCCATCACGTCCGCCAGACATTTCGTGCTCAGGACGACGCATGAAACGTCGCTCCTCTTTCCACCTGTAGTAATCGGCCTCCTCCTCGGCAGAGGCAAAGCGGCGTTGGCTGTGTGAAAGACGACGACTGCGGTGCATACGCTCTGGACGCTCTCGGCTCTGATCCGATGACATATCTCGGCTCGAAGGTCGTTCCATCTCCGGTTCTCTTCGCGATGACTTGACAGGTGTAGCCTCTAGCGTGTTGGCGCGGGCACGAGACGATCTCGACGGTTTCGCAGCCGGGGGCGTCGCTTCAGGCTTTGAACGGCCAAAGATGCCACCGAAGAGACTACCACGCTTCACGTTTGGGGGAGTCTCTCGGGTACTCAAACGCCTGCGCGGCGCACTACGAGGAGGGGTGTCGTCGACTACTGGTGGCAGCGGGGGTGGAGGTGAAGCGCCATCGTCGTCTTCCTCTGCTGCTCGGCGAGCAGCGTCGCGAGAAACATCAATAAGCTCTTCCTTTGGTTTCAGCAAGCCAGCTGCTTTGGCTGCTTCACGCTCCGCCCTCCTCTGACGTCGTAATTTCCGGGCCTCTTCTTCTTCGCGCGCCGCCTGCTCAATCGCCTCTTGTTCCAGGCGCTTCGCCTCTTTTTCGGCCTCATGTCGTTGTCTTCTCTTCTCGTGTCGAATGCGTCGCTCCTCTTCTTCCTGGGCGAGCTTTTGCTCTTCTTTGAGTTTCTTGCGTTCCTCCATGGCTCTCATGAGCTCTTCTTCGGCACGCCTGACTGCTCGGCGTCGTTCCCGATGCTCCAGCTTTCTCGCCTCCTCCTCTGCCTTTAGGCGGGCAGCGTCTGCGGCAGCAAGTCGCTCCTTCTCAGCCCTCTCGGCCCGCCGGGTTTCGCGTCGCTTTTGTCTATCGGCTTCTTCATCAACCTCCTCAACGGGGCGACGCTTGCTGTATCTCTCCTCACCCCTGGGTTCTCGGTAGTGCGAGCGGTACGGATCCGGGTACGCCTTCTGTATGTCGCTACCACTACTGGGTATCTCAACCTCGCGCAATTTGGCCCTTCTGCGCTCGGCCGCTTCGCGCTCTGTCATGCTGTCGCGGCGCCTTGTTCTTGGCGCATCAGGAACGGCAGAGGCTGGCATTATTGGTCGCTCCATAATACTAGCGCCACTTTCGCGTCTGCGGCTTGGCCGGTGCTGGCTTTCACGACGAGTGTGTGAATGTCGGCGACGGGTCTTCTCACGACTGGGTGCATCGGCTGACGGTTCGTCCTCAACTGCAAAGTCGCGGTCCCTGTCCGCACGGTCGTCAACAGCATGACCGACTAATGCAGCAGCGGCGGCACCAGTAATCCCAGCAGCAGCAACAGCAGCTACAGAGGGTAGAGGCGAAGGTGTGTTTGGAACTTCGTCAACGTCGAGGGACCGGTCTGCCGGTGCATCGTCATCGGCCTGCTCAGGTTCGGGAGTCTCTTCATTGGCCACCTCTGCTACGACCTCTTCTACCTCCACTTCGGGGGCTGGTACCGACTCCTCCACATCCTGGTCTTCGGGGATTTCATCAGCGGGTGCATCCGCCGCTACTGGAGCGGGTTCCTCGGGTTCCTGCGTTGGTTCTGGGGTCGCCTCAGCTGGTGCTTCCGGTTCCTCAGGAACGGGTTCAGTCGGCGGTTCGGGCTCTTCGACAGCAGCTGGTGATTCAGGTTCTGGCTGTTCTTCCTCGGGGGCTTCCGATGGTGCTTGTACCTGTTCTTCCTCGAGCTCGACATCAGGCGACGATGCCGGCTCTTCTTCATTCGTTGCTTCCTCCGGGGCTTCGTCTGCCGCAGCTTCTTCAACATCGCCGCCTTCTACCACCGGCTCGGCGGCTTCAGCAGGCGCTTCTTCCACCTCCTCAGCAGCCTCTTCAGGCGGTGCGTCCTCCTCGGGGGCTGGCTCTGACGCAGGTGGAGCATCCTCAGCACCGTCGTCGTTCGCTTCGCTGGCTTCAACCACTGATGGCTCATCTGCCTCCCCCGTAGCTCCAGATCCGTCGTTTGATTGGCCATCCTCACTAGGTGGCTCTGGTGACTCTTCAGCAGGTGGTGCAGGCTCGACCTCTTCCGCCTCTTCAACGAATGAAGGGTCGGCATCAGCCGCAGCAGATTCTTCTTCCTGGGCCGCATCAGGACCTTCATCGGCTGCTCCATCTGGCGTCGCCAACGGTTCTTCGGGGTCCGCAGCCTCCTCTGCCGGCGGCTCCTCTGGTTCATCTGCAGCTGTATCCGCGTCTTGCTCAACAGCTTCCGCTTCTGCTTCCGGCTCTGGTTCCGCTGCGACTGACTCAGGCGATTCTGGTTCAGCAGGCTCTTCCGTCTCTTGCTCAGCCACAGATGCATCTCCCACTTCAGATGCCGGGTTCTCGACCCCTTCTGTTGATGGGTCTTCGGTAAGCGGTGCGGCGTCGTCTAGCTCCTCCCCCTCCACTGTGGCCGGCGCAGCGTCATCATCGGCTTCAGCAGGGTCTTCCGGCGGTGCAACGGACTCTCCAGCCTCGCTCTCGCTGCCAGATTCGCTGACCTGAGAAGCACCGTCATCCTCGTCTTCCTGGGCAACTTCCTCCTCTGGTTGGGGTGCATCTGCCGGCTCAGACACCTCAGTAGCTGCCGCGGTCTCCTCTTCAGGCTCAGCAGAATCTTGTGACGAAACTAGTGAATCGTCGTTCACAGACTCTTCTTGAGTGATAGCACTGACATCGTTCTCGTCATCTCCTTGCTCCTCTTCGACTGCTTCGAGCGCAGGATCAGACGGATCTTCGACCTCTGATGCTGGAGACTCTGCAGCTGGGACGATCTCAGAGGTTGCAACATTAACTTCGAGTGATAGACCTGGATGTGCCTCTGTGATCGCGGCCGATTCGGCAGGCGACTCCGGACTCTCGGAAGCTTCTGGCTCGTCGGGCTCGGCAGCATCGTCCACTACCATGGAGCTCTCTGGCTCTTCTTGAGAATTCGAGGAGAGCCCGGAAGCAGCATCGTCATCGGAACCGGCATCGTCGTCAAGGATTGACTGATCTTCTTCCGGTTCTTCTGGCTCAGCAGCGACATCAGCGACGTCACTCGGCGGTGCCTCTTCGACATTCGTTGTTTCATCTTCAGCGGTTGCTGAGTCAGGCGCGTCGTCGGCCTGGGGAACTTCAGAGGCAGCAGGTGCGGCAGACACCTCAGATCCAGACCAGTCATCATCCTCGGACTCCGACCCAGATTCGCTCCCCGCATCGGATCCCTGCTCTTCTGCTGGTTCATCATCTGGTTCCGGGCCTGTGTTGGCTCCGCTGGAAACCTCCGAATGTTGTGGCTCCTCATCGGGCCCAACGTCCTCATGGACCTGCAATGAATCAGTATACTCTTCTGAATGGCCAACGGCATGAGGCAAATTCCGGTTCGGATTCAATGACAGCTTATACATACCACTTCCGGCACCTTTTTGGCCGGCATGTCTGGTGCAGAGTCGGGCTCGGCTTCAGCTAGCGCAACGTTGGCAGCTACAACATCATGGTCGCTTTGTTCGGAAATATCTTGAAGAACAGCTGGATTGCCCGCGGCGTGTTCGGTCTGCTTTTCTTCGACCGTGGGGTGTTCAATTGGCGTCTCAACGTCAGCCTCTCTCGAGACAGGGTCTGGGCTGACTTCGCTTGTCGCGTCAGCTGGGATGCTTGCGCATGTTTCGTCGGTGTTGTCGTCGAGTTTGGGTAAGGGTGCTTCAGTCTCAGCTGCACTGGTCAGCGGCTGTGGTGCATGGCCACTTTTGGGTGGAGGAAATTATCGCTGCTGTACAAGTAGAAGTGCAATCACGAAAAAAAAGAAGGTGAGATTCAGAGGTGACGGGGATGTCGGGAGCCAAAAGACAAGCGGCAG